TCTGTCCTAGCTCTTGATCATTCCAATTAGACACCTGCAACAGACAACATACTGTATATTTGTCTTACAACTGATGTTAACTGTCTTCATGCTTGACCTTTCCAGTACACCTGTCTTTAATGAGGTGCTAATTAAGAGTCCCATTAGGATCATAGAGATTGCAATTATTGGATCTTTAAATACAAAGATTTAGGTCTCTGGTGAAACCCTTAGACACTCAGCAGTCACCGTGGAAGGCAAAATGTCAGCTCATAATAAGAGAGAAAAGGCTCTGCCTACCAGAGCAAATGGAAAGAAAAAAAAACTGTGTCAGGATCTTTGAGCAATTCTTAACGGTAGAAACTTTGACTGGTCATAGTGGGAAAAGCACAGGTTACTAAGTTACTAAGACCACTAAGTGTCTGGTAAGCCACCACAGGATACCAGGACCGTAAAACTGAAGCAGCTAAATTTAATTCAGTCATCATTTAATTTAGTATCTACACCTGCTTCTACCATTGTGACATGTGAGAAGAACCTATAAGTTAACATTTAGACTGTGGTTGAATATCTACTATAATTGCATCTACAGGGTCTTGTGATCAAGATCTAAATTATTTCCAGTCAGATTTAGGCCAAAAACTGATTAACTGAAACAAAAATCTTCAGCTCTTTAGCTGCTAAATGCTTCACATTTTTTTACTTGTTACTAATTGTGTCTGTCTACCATTTGGTGCTGAGCAGGTAGTGTACAGTGGGTGGTTAGCACTTTTTGCCCGAAAACAGCGGCCTACTGTTGTGGGCCGAACGGCTAAACTTTGAGCTGAAACTCGGTATAAAGCCTCGTAAAACAGAGAGTTCCTTTCACATTTACAAATTTAAAAGTAGGATGGTGTTTAAAAAGTGCATTTTTATCACATTCTTTTAAATTGTTCAGTTAAAACTGGGATAAAGACAAAGATCGAGTCAAAGATATACACGAGGCAAAAAGTGGAATTTGGTGTAGTGATCCTAGTACAAAGCCTGTTCGGTCTGGAGCAGGGAAACCATGTGATAACTTTAACATCATCGTAAACATTATGTAGTGGTCTAAATAGTTGAGATGGCAAAAGTAAGGGGGAGGAAGTGAGCCAGAATGTGACTGTGTGCTTGGAGGGGTTTGTGTGTGTACGTGAACAGTTGTGTGTTTGTGTGTATTGTGTCTGCAGTAGCATGTTTCCTTAAGCCTGAATGCCTAAATACATCTCTGTATCTGATATTGACTTTTCTGGGGCTCACTGACCTCTGCCTGGATAAGCCACGGTATCCTTCCACCCAAACATCGGGTGAAACATTGACATTTTCTTCTTATGCATGACTAGAAAAATCTGCCCAGAAAAGTCCTCCTCCCAGCCATACCAGTCGAAAACAGAATAAGTTTTGTTCTCCCCCCAATCATTAGCAGATAAAGCCCCTCTTTCTTGCCCTTTAATCAAACAGGCAATGGCTTGACATGGCTGGTTAGCTCCTCGATAGAGTGCTCATTGTGCCTGCGCTGAGGAGCTATAGAAGGCTTGTCTGCAAGCAAATCATGGGATCACTGGATGCACATTCCTCCTTCCCTCCCCCATCCCCGCCTCTCTCACTCCATCTCTCATCCCCTTTGAAAATCATCATGTTGAGAGTTGCGTACTTATTGCCAATTTGCGTTTAGGTGCAGGCTAAGTGAGAGCAAACATTGCTGAAAACAGGCAAGTTGAAAGAATGAAAAGGTGTTTCCAAGAAGAAGAAGATATACTTTATTTAATCCCCCGAGGGGAAACTCAATGTTTTCACTCTGTTATTATGTTAGTATACACACAGGTCTGAAATACACACACATGCACAAACACGACCCATAGCAACATACGGAGAGATGTCAGAGTGAGGGGGCTGCCAGTGATTGCGGCGCCCCGAGCAGTTGGGAGTTCAGGAGCTTGCTCAAGGCCTCCTTCGGCAGTGCCCAGGAGGTGAACTGGCATCTCTCCAGCAACCAGTCCTCGCTCCGCAACTCCGCGACCCTCCAGTTCCCAGCCTAATCCTTACAGACTGAGCTACTGCCGCCCAATTATCTACTGATTGTGCACTTTCTTACTCAGAGACACACCGTCACACAGGTCAAACAAGTCTGATTTGTCTCTTTAAAGGTAGTGTGCCCCGATCAAAACCTTTTTTTCTTTTTGCCTCAGAAATATGGCAAGGGTGCCCTATTCTCTCCACACACTTTTCCCCCCAAACAGGGTCGAGAACAATAGGTTTCAAGGTGAAGGCCCTTCGTGCTTGCTGTCTAGTTTGTGATGAACCCTCCGGGCCGCTGCTCATGAGAATTGTACTTGGTCGTTTCCCCCCCCTTTTTTTAAGGCGGCTCCTGAGGCAGATGTGCTCAGCTCAATTCAGACGCAGCTGCAGATGAAGAGGAAGAATATCGGGGGGCAAAGCCCGGTGAGATGGAGGAAGAATGAGAACCTAAGGGGAGGAAAGACAGCTTGTGAAGGAAATAAGAAAAAGCAGATGAGAGAAACAATGAAAACCAAGCTAGCACGAGACAAAAATAACAAAGATGTGAAATACAGAACATATAGAGTCAAGTGAGGGAGCGTTTAAGGGTGAGAGAACAAAAGAGGTGGAATGTATGAGAAGGAAAAAGATAAACAGAGAGGGAGGTACTGAGGCAGACAGAGATTAAGAGCTCTGTGATGGATCGAACTGCACACTTCTTTCCATGTTGCATGTGAGAGAAGAAGAGACGGTTGAGAAACAAGACATTGCGGTTTCCCTGATCTAAATATAAGTCTGTGGTCGAACCCACTAACTGCTGTGTGTCTCTATCAAGTCTGTTTTTTTCTGCCAAAATGCCACATTTACTTACAAACCATGACAATTTAGTAAACCTACCAATATCTACTTTCTACATTCTGTATTCATTCATTGAGCTTGACATACACAAAGATAAAATAAACACTTGTTATCAAAGAGCAAATAATTACATTCTAAACATAACTGTGCAACAAATTTGAATTGATTATGTGGGAAAAAACTCAAAGGATTTCTTAGTGAGGGCAAATACAAACATTTACATATTCTCTTCTCCGGGATAACCTTCCTTATTAATCGTCATTTGTATGTTTTGTTGATTAAATGATTCTCCTCATAAATTCTTCATTGTTCTCTGTAAACAATAGAGCAATAAAGCTAATGGTGTATTCTCAATTTTTGGTTGATGTTCTGCGAGTGCTCTAAATGTCCTTGATTTCATTTGCAGTACTTTTTGTGAAATCCCATTATTTTCTCCCAAACTTAACAATATAAGAGCCACAGACTAGGTCATGACAGTGGATTAAAAAGTCTTCGGGATGTGTGTGTGTGTGTCTGTGTGTGTCTGTGCGTTTTCCCCCCAAACCCATAAATAGAAGGGGGCAGAAACACAACTTTCTTGCAGGCTTTTTGCCAATTTGTAGTAGGGCCTCATCCGCCCCAGTCAGTTTCTGCTGCAGTACAGCTACCGTTTCCCCTCATAAACATCACAAATCTCATAGTTAGTGTGACACTTTGAAGTCGCAAGTGAACAGTTTCAGATTGCTATCTGTCTCAGGCAGTGAAAAACAAGTTTTGAAGTGGATATCCGGCTGTAACTGTCCCAACCTACATGCCAGACAAACAAGAGCATTTTAGAATATGTGCAGGTCCATCATATTGGCATGAACATCATCCTATCACTGCCTTTATCTCTCTCTCTGCCTGTATCTTATTCTGTTTCTCCCAACATTTCTATCTGTGAGTCATAAATAGGGGAAACGTTCAAAAGCTCAGTGTGTGTGTGAGTGTTATGGTTAACATTGATATCAACATTTCCAGATAGCTCGACTCTTGATGTAAGGCAGAAGAACTGGTTGGCAGCATTTCAGTTATTAGCTCATAACAGCACAACAACAGCACACACATACACAACGCCATTGACCTGATATGCTACAAGACCCGGAAAAGGACGTTATTAGCCAACGTTATTAGCCAACGTTATTAGGCAACCTAAGCTTATTTTAGGGCAACCCTGGCTTAACAGAAAATATCTACCACTGTTTCTGCAAGTGAGCTGTGTGGCTTTTAGTTATGAAGTTCAAGGGGGACTAACTTTGGAAATATCATCTCAAACAGCACAAAGTTTTTCTGTCTATCAACTACAGCCAAATTCATTGATTTTTCTTAGTTTGGCTTAGATTTATGAATAAGCGGATGCATGCTGTGTATACATAACAGCTGTTGCTGTCAAGCTGTGCTGATTATTTAATTGTTATGTACACTGCGGCAAAGATAACGCAACGACAAGGTAATTGAAATGTTATCCCAATCTTATCTGAGATGATTACTTAAACACTACATTTCTAATGCATGTTGAATTAGGCAATTACATGCGTTTAACGTGAGCTGGTGAGTGAGGATGGAAGAGAGAAAGTGGGGGGGGGCGGGGGGGGGAGAAAAGAATTAGCAGACAATGGAATGGGAATATTAAGTGTTTCAGCTGGTGAGTGTGGGGTCAAAGATCACAGAGCGCTTATAGGCATATTAGCCACTTGGTTATGATAAATTATGACTGCGTTGCTATGGCGACCAGTACACTCATAGCCTGCATCCAGCAGGGGGAAAAACAGGGCCTTAATGAAACAGGGCAGAGAGTCTAATGTAGTAGGCTAATGTCAGTTACGTTCTTAAATTAATATATATAAAATATATTTGGTAATATTATTATTATTATTAATATTTTTATTTCAGAAGGCACTCAGACCCAGTTACCCAGAAGACTTATAGGAGCATGGAGATGATATTTGTCCACTGTGATGTGAAGTTTGAAAATGAATTTAAGGAAACAAGGACTTTTTTTTTTTTGAGTGTGTGCGTGTGTGTGTGTGTGTGTGTGTAAGAGAGAGAGTGAGAGAAAGAGAGTGCCTATAAAAATCTGGATTCCCCACTGTCTGCCATATTACTATGATTTGCCACTTACTCAACAATTAGGCGCTAGCAGCTGGATGTTGATTTTTTGGGAAGCGGTGGGCGCTTGTCGCAAGTCACATCCCCCGTGAGCTCATTAAGGATGTGTGGAACGCCTGGCTGATTGGCTTAAAATACTGGAGATCGACAGCCAGGTTTGTGCTGAGGAGGAAAGCAGACAGACAGACAGGGAACGAGTGGGAGGTAGACATACAAATTTGGTGGATGGATAAATAGTGAAAGCAGTGAGGCAAGAGGGAGAGCAGACGTGACTTTGAACCTCCAGCACTGCCCCTAAAGGAATGTTTTAGCTGCTATCATGTTACCTCTGAACCTTTTTATGTTTACATGCAGGTGTGTACATGTCCGACCGTACATGTGTATACCAACATGTCTGCGCTTGCCAATATCCTCCCATCCGTGTGCATTTGTGTACACGCACACACATAAACACACACACACGTCACATGCTTTATAATTAGCTGATTGAGCTTTAACTTCATTACCATGGGCGAGTCTTCTGCACACTAATCAATTTCTACCATCTAGAAACGGCTTAGTGCACAGCACTGGCTGTCAATGGCAGAATTAACCACAATGCTGTGGGGACGAAGCACGTGGCCAGCCTTCTGTGGGAGGGAGGGAGTGTAAAGTCTGATTAGAAAGTGTGATGCGTCGGTCCATTTGCATGCAATCTGCGTTTACACTTTGTATCAGTACATGTGTGTGTGTGCTGCTTTGCATGTGTGTACCTGGCTGCTCTCCTTTAATAGCTACACACCCTGCTGCTGCCTGTTAAGACTGGCATTTTTACAATCTCGTTTGACTCTAACACTCCCTAATATAAGCAGGCCAACAAACGCCCCGTCATTTCCTCTGTCTGGCTCCCCGACCCCCTGATCCCCTTTGTAGTCGATGTTTTAAAAAAAAAAAATTTTGCTATGCTAGTGGCATGGCTCCAGGGAAGGCAATGTCTGTCTGTTGGTCCACCACTTGGGTCCTGATTAAAACATTTCTAACTATTGGATGGCTTGCAATGAAATGTAAAAACTCTGATGATTCCTTGACCTTTCCTGTAGCGCCACCAGCAGTGACATTTTACTTTTTTAGTGAAATATCTCAACAATTATTGGACAGTTTGCCATAAAATTTGGTGCAGGTACAGATATTACATATAGGATGAATCCTAATGATGTTTGTGGTGTCCTGACTTTTCTTCTGACACCATCAGGTCAAAGTTTTCTTTTAAGTAATGGAATAGGCATGTGAACATTTTGTTTCACACATTCATGGTTTCTTGGATGATGAATCCTGATAAGTTTGGGGATCCACTGAGTTTGTCTCTAGCACAATATCCTCGGTACTTTTGGATAGATTGCCATGAAATTTGGTACAGACATTCTCTCCATGACTCTCTCAGGATGAATTGCACTAAATTTGGTGATCTCTTAAGGGAGACCTATTATGCTTTCCGTATTTTCTGTCGTATCTATAATGTTACAATGTTGGATATTCATGTTAAACGTGGCCAATGTTTCAAATAATGAGGTACCATACAGGAGTGACAGAACTACAATATAGGGCTTGAAATGCAATTTAATAGGCCCCCTTTAACTTTTCATCTAGCACCAAACTCAAAATTTTCCACTTTCCCAGTATAAATACCTGCAAAAAAGACATTCACATCTGCCTGAGCTGTTTGTGTTTAGCACTTATTACCAAATGTTCATGCTAACGTGCAAAAATAAGATAATGAACATGGTAAATATTATATCTGCTAAACATCAGTATGTTAGCATTGTCATTGTGAGCATGTTAGAACACTGACGTTAGCAGTACAGCCTCAAAGAGCCCCTAGCATGGATGTAGAGTCTTTCTTTGCATGACCTCAAGTCAGTATCATTCTGTCTGAGAGACTGCTACTGAGTTGTGTACTTTGCCAGACTTTCTCTAGTCAGAAGTAGTCATTTTAGTATGATGGCATGGTGTCATTACCATTGTCTGATGTTCATTAAAGACCCCATTTTAGCTTCTATTCTAAGGATATGTCACTTACAGTATTTGACAGTATTTCAGAGAATAAAATCCTTCACTTAGTCATGTTTGGCTGGCTTACTTGAAAGACTGCAGCAGGCCCTGAGAATGGATGGTCACCCATGTAGCCTTCATGCTATCATGTCAGATATACAAACACGATGCATCAGGGAACCTGTAGGGACTGGAGATGGTGAATGGTACAGATTCAGAGTTATGATTGGGCATCCATTTGATTTGTTGTAGCTCAGTGCATCAGTCGGTGAGGTTAGGAGGTATTTCACTTGCAGGTAGTTTTGTTTTAAGTGTGTAAGAGGTGTAAGTAAAGAGGGAAGAGGGTAGCCCTAAAGCAGGTAGAGCCCGAGGGGAAGAGGAACAACAGTTGGATTTATTGACAGATGTTACAACTGGCAGGCCTCAAGATGAAAAGAGCATGTTCGTCATGTGTTGATTGCACATCTGAAGGAGTTGAGGGCAGTACTAGGAAGCCTGCTCCAACCATTTTATAACACAGTCCAGCCACCACCCCCCCACTCACACACAGTGACGAGCTCCTCTGCCACTGGACAAAAGCTGCTGCAAGTCAAGCATGAAAGCAGGGGAGGGGGAGCCGTACAGAAATTAGGGGTGTGTTGGATAGAAAATAGCAGGGGGCATGAACTGCCAGCTGTTGTGTTCAAGCTGCACTTCTCCAGGAGTAAAGAGTGCCAAAAAATTAATCTAGGACTGAATCGTAAGCCCAAGATTTAGTCCAGGTGTTGTCAGTGTTTATGCATCATTTATGAACCGCTGACCATGCACTTATTTGTGCATGACTATAACAATAAAACACATTTTCAACACATTTCCATGAGCTTCACTGATAGTCAGTTGATGCCCCGAAGAGAAATTTTGCCCGTTAGCTCCCTTTCAGGGAGTGACCTTGGAGCCAGCTGGGAGTTATTGTCACTTTCAAGGATGCATCAGCAGGGTGGAGGAATTTTGTCACTGTTGTTTGAACTCAAGAGAAATGGTAAATGGACATTCACACACACATTCATACACTGATGACTCGAACAAGCCGAGAATTAAAGCAGCGACTCTCCAGCCCATGAAGTGTTACAAAGCAGCAATCAGTATAACACTGAAAGTAATTGGCTGCTTTTGTTGTTGAAATGTATTCTGATTATCTGAAAGGAAGCTTTAAGTCATCACAAAGTCCTTGGCATCATAAAAATGTTGCTTACCATGATGCTTCAAGTATGGGCAGGTCCTCAAAAGACCTGGACTCTGATGTTAGGCCTGCCCTCTCTCTCAACTCCTGACTTGTTGTTTGCATTTCCCTGAATGAAAATGATGGTGCGTTCCATTTGACATGGGAAGTCATAATTTCCGAGTTCAAAGTCTGAAATTTCAAAGGGAACGACCCCTTAATTTGAGAGAACCGCACTACCTTGACTTTGTGATCCAAGATGACTGTCGGGGTATCAACAGTTATTGAAAACTGTAGATTATACTGTTTATTAGCACTTCTGTGTACTTGTGACTCATAGAAATGTTCGTACACAAAGTGCTGTACAACAGTGTTTAGTACGAGTAAATACCACACAATGCGTTTTTTTATCAACCATCTAACAATAGCTAATCCGAGCAAGGTTTTCCGACTTGTTAACTGGAACGCCGTCAACTCGGGTGTGACGTCATTCCAGCTCCGACCTCCGACTTCTGAGGTAAATGGAACGCAGCATGACTCCTGGTGTGTAAGACTATCTGTCGATTTCAGCTCTCCGGATTGTCATCTGAAACAGTTTCAACAAGTTTGTTGGCTCATTAGGATGCATTTCAGAATTTAACAAATCTCAACCCCTCCCCCTCAAAAGTTAGACTATTAAAAGACTATTTATGTTTATGTATGATTATGTTTCATTGTTTGGGTTTTTTTTCTCCACAGCGACAGCATGTCTGATTACAACATGAGTGAGGGAGTGAGAAAGCAACAAGCCAAATCAGCCCCCTGAAGTGATATGTATTGGCTGGGGAGATGTATTTTTCCGTTGTTCTCTTGTGCTGTAATCAAAGGGAGTGGCACTCTGACTGCGACTCCCATCACCAGAGGCTAATGGCTAATCAAACAGGAGGGCTGCCAACCCTCAATGGCTTTCTCTTGCTGTCCTGCACTCTCTCATTTTCTCTTCTTATTTATTCAAGAGATCTAAGCTCTGTAATTAACATGCATGCTATTTCCAAATGGGTATATTTTAATTGTCCCTGTCAAAATACCAATTAAAATGATCCCCCCAAAGTACAAATGTCAGAGTCATAACTTTTTTTTTCTGACCTGATAACACTCTAGCATGCTAACTTTTTAGCTCTTTTTTTCCCTCCTCATCAATGCTTCCACGATGCTCATGCTGTGCAGCTCAGGAGGTGCAACTTTTGCTCACCCCCTTTGTCTCCGGCCTTTGTGAAGAGCCACAGTTCAAGGGTCAAAGTTCAAAGGCTCTCTGACCCACGGATCTTTTGAAACGCCACATCCCATCAGTCCTCTGGAGCATTCTGAGGAGGATTTGTATGATTAATCAAAAGGCTGTTTCCCCTCCTAGTGTCCCAAACTAGGCACTGTCCCACCATGAGCCCTTCCCAAAGCACAGTCAATGCAGCACATAGCATAATATTACTAGAAATAATCACAAATAACCAGTTTGATCTTCTAGTAGGCATTTTTCCCCTACAGGCTGGTGGGGGTTCATTGTACCAAACAAAGATTTATCTAAAGTCTTGTGTCAGGTTTTCTCAAGCTACTGCTGCTCATCCAAAAACTTAGCAATGTTGATTGTAACAGTGTCACTTATGCCTATATAGTCCATAGCAGGCACATTCAGCACAATAGAAGAAAAAAATGATAAGCACACTATACTATGAAAAATATTAAAATATTTGTGATAAAACAAGCAGTATGTGCTGCTTGTATGGCATTTATCAAAATCTAACCAAGGTGTTCAGAGTCTGGCTAATCTCAAACTAACTTGTGGAAGTTATAGGTTAATAATTAGGGAGTGTTCTGCTGCTGGTACTCAGTTTGTGTCCCAGTAGTGAGACAGTCTGGATTCAAGATAAATTGGCTCTTTTACTGTCAAGTTGTTTGTATTTAATGCCTTCCACCCAACAGATCTTCTGTGGCAATATATTTTAATGGTCTAGCCTTGCCCCGGGCCATGGAGAGTGTATAAAATTGTCTGGCAAAAACTAGAGTTTCATTTAGTGAGTGGAAATAAAGTCATTATTTAGTGATTAAAAAATGTGTTTTATGCAATACAAATCTAAAAAGCTCCCCTCAAAATTGATAAGCTCACTAGTGAAATATCAAAAACAAAGCTCATCATTTAACATGTACAACCAACCGTAAGACATTTTCTACAGATAAAGACCATTGATCCAAACAGCGTGGTACTTGTGGAATTGTTTTCCTTTTCTTTAATTCAGGTGTAGAAGTCTCTCTCCCTGTCTCTTTATGTCCCGAACACACACACACACACACTGACACACTCAGTGGCCCAAGGCATGGCATGTGGGGCACAGTAATGTGGTGAACAAGTTTCAGGACACTCCCCGCTGGTCTCCGTCTGCGGTGCCGACCGCCTGTCGGCCAACCTCTGGCCAGCATCTGTATCCCATTAGAGCCACAAGAGGGCCACGGAGCAGAACGCATGAAAAAAAAAAATCCAGTGTTCCTCTCAAAGTCATCCTGCATTATTTAATTACTGAGCACACTCCATAAACTTCATGTTATTAACACAGTGGGAGCACATAAATGTATATTGGATAAAGCGACACTGAGGCTCAATTAGTTATTGGCTGGTGCAAACAGGGAATTCAGGCCAATGCTGGTCAGTCATTGTCTGTAAATTCTGATTGGTTTGTTCGGGTAATTAGTGCATCTTTTCCATCTCAAAATGTATTTATAATGTATCTCCAGCCTTGATAAGGTATATTTATTTATGCTATAACTTAATGATATATATACTCAGAATCTGCAGTTTCTTTGCAGCATTTTGTTGCAGTAAAGATACAAGTGCATTTACTAAAACAGTCAGATGATTCACAGCTATTCCCCTGAAGATTTTCTTCCTAAGGTCTTTCCTTGGCTAAGACAGCTAAAATAAATACAATACATCTTTATCGAATAAAGAAAAACATCAAAATTTGCCCAGGTTTCCATTGTGAGTTTTTGGTTATTTGCATTGTCAAAAGTCTTTTCGCCTATGCATGGAAACTCTATGCCAGCAGCCAGATGAGAAAGGGGATGCAGAGGGGATTAGGGGTCACAGGTTTTGAGGCCACACTGCGTGACCTCAATCAGCGCTAAAGGGGACATTCCCAAATAGCTAAAACTATCCAGATGATGACATTTGACCTCAGCTCTGCACCCACCAATCGCTGTATGAAGTGGTCGTTGCCTCTGGCTTTGGAGGACCATACGCCTCTATTATGGCCTGAGATTGGAGCAAGGATTAGACTTGGGGACCAACCATACATACACACACACACACACACACACACACACACATACACAAACACAAATGCTGTCTATTTTCATCCCTCTCACTTGTTTTCTCTCACTCCCTTCTCTCTCCCTCACCCCCGCTTCCTCCTTCTCCTCCCTAACAAGCAATAAAGCTTTTGTGGTTCACTGACTCCTGCCGGCTGCTCAATTGGGGAAGTTGCCTGTCTCCAACACTTTATGTTGTTTAGATTTGCAAAAAAATAAAAACATAACCTGCCACCTGCCTGCACATACTCTGAGAAGCGGGCCAAACACAACAATTAACCAGCGCAGAACTTATATAAAATGCCATTATGGTGTGTCTGTGCGAGTGTGCGTGTTAGGGGAAAGACAGAGAGAAAACCCTACACACTTGAGATATATACGCACATTTCCACTCCAAATAATTTCATAGCATGTGGGAAAACACGATAGCCTGACCTGAATAAATATTGGACGGGCTGTGCTCCCGTCCAAAAATGGAAATCAACCGATTGATTTCAGGATAGCAGTGCGCATATATTCAGAAATAGCTTTCATCACTGCCACTGAAAGTCATATAGGGAAATCTAATGTCTCTGTAATGTAAATATAATACCACTAATCCGAAGGTGCAAGGCAGCTTGAAATCTCCTCAAGCAGGCGTGCAGGAGCTCCTAAATATGTAATACCGTTAAATCAAATTAGAATACCAAGCACAGTGAGAGGAAAGCAGATTAATTTGAACCAAAATTATCTAGTAGATTGTTTCTGCAAACATTTCCATTTTTCAGTGAATTATTCCCTCACTGCAGGTTTGGCAGCAGAGCAGAGTATGTCACACCTCTTTTGTCAAACTAAATGCATTTTTGTCATTTGCCTTGGCAGAGGAGGCCTTGTATACATGACATTTCAACCTCCATTCCAACCCCTGCGGCAGGCAATACAGTGGCTCCTGAGCAGCGGGGGCACGCTGCCTTTGATGGAGGCTGTTTGGTTCTGAGTGGCACAATTGGCCCAGATTGGTTTAATACCCAGCATCAGCTTTTATGTGTGTGTTTTGGAGATTGAGTCTTCGACACTGAGGACACAAAAGAATCTACAAACAGAAATCCCAGCATTCTTTCTACTTGACATCAGTATGGAAGGCTGCATGTCAATCAGGTCTCCTTTAGACTGACATCAGCTGTTTAGACCTTACAGCTGTGAGTATCCTTTATTACAGGCCCTGGGTCAGCCCTTACAATTCTGGTAATATTTCCATAACATTTTACAGGCCAAACTCAACATATTGATGCTATTTGTTAGACTTTTCCGTCAACACCTGTGTAGTTTGACATGTGGATAATTCTCAGTACTGACTGCCAAAAAAGGCACTCACACAATTACAACACTGTTCTCCCAGGACAGTATCAGTCATTTCAGAAAGTACCCTAAAACCACATACGTTTCAAGTGACAAAGCCCTCTAGCATTAGTAGTTATTATGACAGAAGCAAAGCAGGAAGTCAGGAGACATTGTTATAGAGCAACCAAGTCAAAGTGTGTAAAGAGAAGGTCTTGATAAATTAGCAAAACAATGGACCATAGACGTTTGTTACCCGTTTCCATCCGATAGTCAACATTGCTTTTTTTTTTTGCATGACCACGATTGTCCTATAACCTTAACAATGACTACCAAGTAGTGCTGCAACTAACGACTATTTTGATAGTCAATTAATCTATCGATTATTGAAACAAATAATCGACTATTCGGATTATGAATCGCAAAATGACACAATGCCTCTCATTTAGCTATTAGCCTTTAAATTAAACCTGAGGTTGTTTTAGGCATGTGCTAATTAACAGTCAAGACAATAAAATAAATACTGCTTTCAAAAATGCATCTGTATGTTTCTTCTGCAGCAAAAGAAATTTCCTCTGAAATCACATCCTGATACTGTATAAGCAGCTGATCTGCTGTTTAGTGACGGAGCAGCTTTCACGCCAGTACTGCAACACCCCGGGACAAACTGACACTATAAAAAGAAAGGAATAACATCATGCATTACATTTGCTGGATTTACAAGAGGGAATCAATAATAACGATTATGTAGTAGACAGCGTTTCACAACATTTATATAGTTTCCCCTAACTCAACATCTCACAAAACTCCATGACTCTTCAGATGCTCCGGTGTTTCCAGGAGAGCTCAGCTTTGCTGCAGTTCACGACCCTTCTCTCTGTGTGAAGAGTGAAATGCTGGCACACTCTGGAGGTTTTAGGTTGTGAAGGTGTTACTGCAGCATGTTGTTTTAGTAACTTTACTGTTGACATCACTTTACTCCGTTAAGCTGACGGTGTCTCTACGGCCCGATGACGTCATGAACAAATCGATTATTAAATTCGTTGGCAACAAATTTAATAATCGATTTTTGTCGACTACCTCGATTAGTTGTTGCACCCCTACTACCAAGGTCTCCTAACATCAATAAAGTAAGAATTTTTCCTGAACCTAACCTAACCAAACCTTTACCAGTGATATTGTCTGAGGTTTTTTTGATAAGTGAGTTGTAACATTTTTGGATGGCACAGACAAATTATGTCATCACGCTGATAGGGATGACAGATAACAAAAAACAACATATTATGTCATTTATTTTGCAGAACTTGTTGGGACAAAATTACCAACATGCCACAGTAAGACTAGTTTACATGATGAAGCCACTCAAGAAGCCACTCAAGATTCAAATAAAATTACTGTAAACACTACTGCAGACAAGAACATCTATATTGGATGATTCT